GGGCTAAGGTGGCCATACACTGCTGAATTTCATCCGGTTTTTAATGTACCGGTGGCGGCACCTGTCAGAATACTGTTGTGTTGATTGACTGACTGTTCTGGGATGACACCACACAGGTAACGCTAACTCTGCTGGGGTGACAACGCACAGGTAACACTGACTCTTCTGGGGCGACAACGTACAGGCGACACTGACTTTTCTGGGGTGACACCGCATGGATGACACTGACTCTACTGGGGTGACAATGCACAGGTAACACTAACTCTGCTGGGGTGACAACGCACAGGTAATGCTCACTCTGCTGAGGTGACAACGCACAAGTAACAATTACTTTTCTGGAGTGACACTGCACAGGTGACACTGACTCTGTTGGGGTGACACTGCACAGGTGACACTGACTCTGCTGGGGTGACAACGCACACATGTTACACTGACTCTGCTGGGGTTACACGGCACATGTAGCACTGACTTTGCTGAGGTGACAAAGCACAGGTGACACTGACTCTGTTGGGGTGACACTGCACAGGTGGCACTGACTCTGCTGGGGTGACACCGCACAGGTACACTGACTCTGCTGGGGTGACAACACAGGTAACACTGACTGTTCTGGGGTAACACACAGAGGTAACACTAACTCTGCTGGGGTGACAACGCACACGTAACACTGACTCTGCTGGGGAGATAACGCACAGGTAACACCGACAGCTCTGGAATGACATTACATCCACCAAATCAACATTTTAAAAGTCTAGCTCTGCCCCCCTGAAAAAGAAAAAAAAAAACCTTCCTGCAAGCACACAAGAAGGTACCAACTGTACATGGGGGGCCCTAGACCGTATCAAGAGCTATGCTGTACTATTAGTCTGCAGCAAAAAGTACTTGGTTGGGGCCTGGGCCCACCAGGGCCCCTTACATGAGTACTGGCCATACCCCCCTGATGGCGGCCCTGTAGATAAATAAATACCTGTAATAAATAAATACAATAAATATGTGATATACTGTATGTGACATCGTCGCTATTCTAATCCAACTCGGCAGAGGATTCTTCTAGGAATGGACGGCGCCCATATAAAAGAGGCCAAAGACTGCATCAATCAGCAGTCTAAATGAATACTTTGTTGCTACGTTATCAGAAATGAGTGTTCATCATGGCCTTATGTTGGCCACTGCGAGCGCTCAGATAAGCAATTTTACTAAAAATAAAGTCTTGCTTTAAAGTGACAATAAGGGCTAACGTTTTTTTTCCCCACCACACTGATAATGTAAGGACTTACTTTAAATGATGTCTCTTAATTTGATCTTCTTTCCTGTAGTTTTCAGCTGTCCCTCCAGCGCTGGTGCGGGTCTCCAATCCAGCGCTGACTCCTCTGTCCTCCTCTTCTCTGATATCCCACAGAGTCTGTTCGGGTGCACGCTGCTTCATAGACTTACCTTGTGTCTCTCCTCGTCTCCCGGCCGAACATCTGAAGTGCGCATGCGCCCGCCCCAAGATGCTTTGCGGCCGCCCGAGAAATGTTCAGACGTTGGGATGGGAGCACGCGGCGGAGACACAGGTAAGTATTAACCCTTTGAAAAAGTTTTTGTTTTAATCGCTTTGCATATATCTACTGCTTGCTAGCATTAGATATATGCAAAAACATGCGAGGGTTTAATAACCCTTTAAGGAAGTTATTACTTTGCTTTCAATCTTTGTAAAGTGTAATGGTGGCAGGCATTGTGTAAATGTACTCTGGGACTCTTGCTATTTACATCTGATGTGATTTTCTATTAGCCTATGAATTTTGACTAAACTGCTTTGTTATTTTATCCCAAATCAGAGGAAATTATCGGCGGAGTAGAAGTCAGTCCCCATTCCATGCCCTATATGGCATTTCTGAAATTTGACATAAAAGGAAAATTATTTAATAGATGTGGTGGCATCCTGATAAGTGAAAATATTGTTTTGACAGCAGCTCACTGTAATGGCACGTACGTATGGCAACACTGGGCACTGGACTATACTCTAGACAAAGGCCCTTCCGCTGACTCCACCCTTTAGGGAGAAAATATATTAGTAGACATATAAAAAACCATAACATCAGGGCTGACTGAAAACACATGGGGCCTCCGAGCAATATGAGGTTATGGGCCCCCCTTGTGCTCCGCCCATATACAAGCCCCACCCACATATACATTGTTGTGTTACAGAAATATTTCTCCACACTATTTTCAAAATAGCAGGTCTATTCACTAAAAGTTGAATTGAATAGCAGGGGAATTGATAGGAGAATTTCAAAATCTAGACCAATCAATTCTGAAAATTATCCGGTGAAATTTATAGAGAATTAGTAGGAGAATTGACAGGGGAACTGAATAATGTAGACCTCAGACCAGAATCAATGTATGGCAGACCTTAGACCAGAACCAATGCACAGCAGACTTCAGACCAGAATCAATGCGCTGCTGACACTTTAGACCAGAAGCAATGCATGGCAGACCTCAGACCAGAACCAATGCATGGTCTGAGGACCAGAACCAATCCATGGCAGACCTCAGACCAGAACCAATGCATGGCAGACCAGAACCAATGCATTGCAGACCTCAGACCAGAAGCAATGCATGGTAGACCTAAAACCAGAACCAATGCATGACAGACCTCAGACCAGAACCAATGCATGGCAGACCTCAGACCAGAAGCAATGTACGGCAGACCTCAGGCCAAAATCAATGCACGGCAGACCTCAGACCAGAACCAATGCATTGCAGACCACAGACCCCAATGCACTGCAGATCACAGATCAGAACCAATGCACTGCAGATCACAGACCAGAACCAATGCACTGCATATCACACACCAGAATCAATGCACTGCAGATCACAGACCAGAACCAATTCACTGCAGATCACAGACCAGAACCAATGCACTGCAGATCACAGATCACAGACCAAAACCAATGCAATGCAGATCACAGACCAGAACCAATGCACAGCAGTAAGAACTGCAGAGTGTTAAATATGCAGTAGTAAATAACGCAGAGTTCAGTAGTAAATAACGCAGCAATGCAGTACTGTTCTAATATAATACTTCTACACAACACTGGGCACATGGAACATTATATAAAGACAAAATCAATACTGGCAATAGCACTAAAATGTTTCTTTTTTACAGTAGCCGGGAGAGATGGAGAGTATCCCCAGTCCACACACAGATATGCAGCATTACACTTCTTCACTCTTCCTCTACACTCTCTCACACTTCTCTGGTCTCTGTGGAGTTTTGAGACAGCTGTAGCCTCCGATATCCTCTCACTCCACCAGGTCTGTGTCAGGGCTTTACCTTGCCAGTTCAGAGCTGGACGGGAGCCGCTCTAAGATAAACACTACCACGTGGGAAGCCAGACGGGGTGTACCTCCGAAGGACTTCACGGGGCATCTCTTTCCAGTATGCAGCTTTCAAAAATTAATCTGCATGCACTGGCACTAACTCACTGGAGCTGCATTTCCAGGACAAATGCCGGGACACAGCTCCACAGGGACACACAAGTGAAAAGCTGGATTGGCAACTATTGGGGTGGGGGGCAGCAGGGTTGGTGCAAGGATTTTTGCCTTACATCTTAATGACCAGTCAACATATCTGCATTAAAGTGACACTAAACTCAGGAGTTAAACCTTAAAAATACATTCAAGTCCCCTAACTATCAACAAAACTGTATCTTATTTGTGTATCGCTCAGCTGTAGATCCTCAAAACATCTCTGAATTGGTGCTGACACTGTCCTTCCTTCTGGAGGGGGGCTACTTCTGTTCCCCATGGTCCCTGTGTGTGTTGTAAAGTAGCCACCACTCCAAGCTTGCTCTTGTGATGGACTACAATCTCATGTTTAGTTTATTAGTTTGTATTGAGATTGTAGTCCATCAAAAAGAGAGCTGGGATATGACGTGATGTCATCTCCCTGCCTCTCCCAAATCTGCATGCCACTGTCGAGAGATAAGACAGTCTACATGCCCATTCATTTTAATAAATAATACTTGATCTGTAGAAAATAATACCAAATCATGCTAGTACATGTCCCAGGCTAAGAAAAATTAATTGTATTAAAAAATGTTTTTGTTTATCAAAGAAGTTTATATATACCCTCTAAGTAAGGGCTTATTCACACCAATTGCGGTGCGTTCCAGAGCGGCAGCTGCTGGAACGCACAGCAATCGCTCACTAAAGTTCCCCCTTCGCTCTGGGACGGGAGAGGGCGTGTCGGTGCATTGAAGTTAATGGCACCGCAGCCACGCCCCCCTGTTTTTCAAACTATGATCCGGCCCACAACAATGTCTGAGGGACAGTGAACTGGCCCCCTGTTTAAAAGGTTTGCACTAGACAGTCAAGCAGGTTGTCGGGCTCCTCCTGCTGTCACATAGAAATGAGCACTGGTCCTCTTTAGGACAGCTGAGAAGCGGGGGCAGGGAGTTTGTGGGGGTTTGGGGGTGTGGTGGTGCATGGCATTCCTCATACACCAGCCATGCACTTAGTAATTGTAATATGCAAGTGTTTTAATCAAAGAGCACCTCCATCACACCCTGACATGCAAAATGCTTCATGCATATCCTGTATCAATTGTATCTAATTATTCTGTGCAGTAGTTAAATAGGGGGGCTCTCAAAAAGAAGTCTTGGCCTACTGGTGACACTGGCACATACACATACACTTGTAAATGTGGCTCAGTTGACCTTTTGAGTTTATGTAGATGAATGGAGGGAGGAGATAGTGGGAATGGAGAAAAGAGCATTGTAACAGCTTACCGGGGTGGAGCAATAGCAATACGGTATGGTATGATCCTAATTTGTCCGATCACCTTTTTACCAGCCATCCCCATCTACACTCATTCACTGGTGTAGGATCTATCTGACACATCTCTAGTTACACTGGTATTTTCTTGTGTTTCAATTACAGAAATATGCAAGTAATATTGGGAGCTCATAATATTGAATCTAAAGAAAACTCCTGGCAAGAAATAAAAGTTTGTAACATTGCTCCACACCCAAACTACAGTAAAGATGAGAATGACATCATGCTGCTAAAGGTATGTTTGGAGAAAATGTAAGATAATTGTTATGCAGTTATGCTAAAATGTTTGCTCCACAGATGGATAGTTATCTAATGTGGAGCACCATTGCCATTTTAACAAATATTCATGTAAATTTTCCTTTCTTGGGTTCATGGCAATGAATAGTGGCAAAACGACATTGTGTTTGGAATATAGTGTTTTTACTTTTCCTTTAGGGAAAGGGAACAATACTTTCATCGATGAATGTAAAAAAATGTGCTTGAATTTCCAAAACTATGGAAACAGGTTTGGGCGACCATTAGATCACTGGGCAAATAGCTCACTAAAATAATGAGTAGTAAAACTTAAAGCCCAACTACGGCCATTTTTCTTATCTTTGTTTACAGTGGGAAAGAGTTAGGGCCCAAAAGATGTCACCAGCACTCCAAAAGTAGATTCAATATATTTTAATTACAACGGTCATTCAAAATCACAAGTACTTTTCGGGGCCACGTTGGGTCCCCGTCATCAGGCTCAGAAACGGGGACCCAACGTGGCCCCGAAAGTACTTGTGATTTTGAATGACCGTTGTCATTAAAATATATTGAATCTACTTTTGGAGTGCTGGTGACATCTTTTGGAATTACTACTTGACTACACGGTGCCTTTGTGGTCGCTACAAGCACCCTATTACAGACATCATCTCCTAGGAGATCCGGTAAGGAGTGCAGTAAGATACATACAATTTTGTACAGAGTTAGGGCCCATTCACACATACCGCACTGGATCTACGCAGGTCACCGCTAGGACACAAAGAAAACCACTGATTCCTATGTGCCCTATTCACATCACAACTTGGGTGTGATGGGCAATGCTGTTTTGATTTTCTTCTTAACATTATTTAATTCATGTCTGTTAGTTATTTCATTCATTTTTTTTTGTCCACCTTTGTACACTTGTGTTGCAGCTCACAAAAAAAGCATTGTTAAATCGATATGTATTACCACTGCCCATTGGCCACAGAGGAGAGAAGGTGAAACCCGGAAGTGAATGCTGTGTAGCAGGTTGGGGAAGATATAAAGAATTTAACCAAGACAAGTCTCCAACACTAAGGAAAGTTGATCTAAAAGTGGTTTCAGCAAAAATATGTTCTCAGACATTCACAAATAGTGTTGTGAAGAAATTCATCTGTGCTGGAGACCCCAAGGAAAAACAAAAGTATGCATTAATGGTGAGTATCTTCAAGAGTTATTTTTGTAAGTAATGCAAGGAGGAACTCCAATGGAGGCAACTAATAATTAGTCATTCCCATTAGAGTGCCTCTTACATTGTTCCCATCAGAGTGCCCCATTACATTGGCTGTCCCCATCAGAATGCCCCGTTACATTGGTTGTTCTCATAAGAGTGTGCCCCATTACATTGGCAGTCCCCATCAGAATGCCCTTTTACATTGCCTGTCCTTATCAGAGTGCCCCCTTTCATTGCTTGTCCTCATCAGAGTGCCCCCTTACATCGTCTGTCTCCATCAGAATGCCCCCTTATATTGCTTGTCTCCATCAGAATGCCCCCATACATTGGCTTTTAGCATCAGAGTGACTCCTTGCATTGTTTTCCCCCATTAGAGTGCCCCCTTACATTGGCTGTCCCCATCAGATTGCCCCTTTATGTTTGTATTTAATGTATGGGGGCATTCTGATGGAGACAAGCAATATAAGGGGGCATTCTGATGGAGACAGACGATGTTTATATCGTATGATAATTATTATTTGACAGTAGACATGTGCATTCGGATTCAGACGAACCTCCAAATCAACGAAATTCAGTTCATTCGGCGGATCGTCCAAATCCGAAATAACTCATTTATGATATGCCTGAATATAGGAAAACTATATTTGGGCATAGTTAAATTTGTCTCCAGAATGTGCGGTGGCCATATTGGCCAACCAGCGCATTCTGCCCATGCCCGCCGCCATCTTGGAGTATATTTTTGTATACACCAAAGATGACGGCACCCGAACATGAGCGTGCCGCCATCTTGGTGTATACCAAGATACACTTCGAAATGGCGGCGCGCATGCACAGAACGCACCGACGGCTAACATGGCCGCCACTCGTTCTGCAGTCTATTGTGCGGTTTCAGGTTCGGAGACTCGTTGCCTCCAAATCTGAAACAACATTAAAATTAGTTTTCTTTGACAAAACGAATGAAAACAATTTTAGTTTTCATTTGTTTCATCCGAAACAAAAAAAATTTGCCATGCGCATGTCTATTTGACACCATCAGAATGCCCCCTTTCCTTGATTGTCCTTATCACAGAGCCCCCTTACATGGTTGTCACCTTATATTGGCTGTCCCCATCAGAGTACCCCCTTACTTTCGTAATGAATGTAAGGAGGCACTCTGATGGGTGCAACAAATATAAGCGGGGGACTCTGATGGGGGCAAGTAATAATGAGTTGTCTCCATCAGAGGCAAATCACTTCACTTATCCACAGTGTCAATATTATCCATCACAAATAATTATTTAACATTGTTTAGTCATCTTTTCCTATAATCCCATTCAGTATTCATATTAAAGTAGACCTTGCAATCCAGGGGAATGATGAGCACCCCGAGTGGGGTGAGAAGACACTGCAGCACAGTGCTGGGAGCATCTTCTCAGTGAGATTTGTGACCACCATATAGTGTGTGACCACCTATATCTTGTTGTCTATACCTGGTATCCAGACTATACATGCCACCAGCTGAATATTTGACTCTAATAGCAAACAATAGACCTCTATCCCTGTTGCAACGTATATTTTTAGTATACTGTCAACCAGTAATATTTCTTACATCCAGGGTGATTCTGGTGGTCCTTTATTCTGTGGCAAGGATCTTCAAGGAATTGTGCATGCAGGATTCCCTCACAAACCACCAATTGGCTTATACATTAAAGTCTCTTCCCACATTGATTGGATCAAAAAAACCATGCACACGTTGAAGTGCAAGAAAGAGATGTGACACGCATGCCTGGACAGATGTTCCGAAACAAGACACAAGAACATGAATTCAGTCTGCAAGAGGAACATGTGACTTTCATATGTTTTCGACCAGCATTAATGTGAGCCGCTGAATATAAAGCTGCACGACTGTCTATACAAATATTTAAAGTATAAACCTCTGAAACTAATCAAATGCATAAACATGAAATACAGTATTACTGCTTCTATACTTGTATAATACACAGCGCTACGCAAAGTGATAATAAAGTCAAAAAGTTGCTAAGCTATTTCAAGTGCTGAGTAAATCATTTACGGATGCACCTACACCGTTTTTTGGTATCGAGTACAAGTACTGATATTTTTCTTCCGGTACTCACCGATACTGAATACAGATACCGAAGTCCCAAGGCGACGTGTAATGACTCGCCACCTGGCTTCCTGATTAGCCAGGAAGCCGGGCAGCGTGTAAAGACTCACCACCCAGCTTCCTGATAAGCAGGGAAGCCGTCTCCATGCTCCCTCGTCATCAGGCACCCCCTGCCAGCCAGCCTGCAAAAAATACACTGTCTAACTACTAGGGTTAAAAACAGAGGTTTTAGTTGCACATCTCTTGCAAGATATGTGAAAGCCACACTGCCTCGTCAAGGGCCCTCTGTGTAGTGCGGTCCTAACTTTAATCTATGAGAGCCTCTATTTTGGTGCATATATACCAAAGCATAAATTGGATACAGTTTCGCCAGGAGGCAGCCCAACCTCCTTAAAGGTACATGGACACACCAGGAGGCCCACACATCACAATGGCAGCTGAAGCCCCCAGTGTGTCCCCTCACCAAATCCAACAAGATGGAGGCTATCATAGATTAGAGTTAGGACCACACTACACAGCTGATTTGGAAAAAGTCTCCAATTCAGCTCACTTTCCAGTTCAGCTATGTTGTCCTTGATTGTTCACTTCTCCTGCCTTCTCCAAACTCTTCACCCTTTTGTGAATAACCCTGTAAGTGGTTGCGGCTGCGGGGAGAGAAGAAGCAGCTTGGCTTTAATAATGTCCACTTCAGCGATCGGGCTCCTCTGCGGCCACAGCACCTCAGCTGCCAAAGGTGGGAGAGGGAGACTGCCGAACTACAATTGGCCGGCTGTTTAGTTCTGCTGTGCAGGACCTAGAGAGAGGGCACCACGAGCGGCTGGATGTGCAGGCAACCTCGCTGCTCCCCTTGTAAAGTGATTAGAAAAAACGTACGATCTGCCCATCTTGGACAGGCAGATCGTACTCTCGATCATTGCAAGCCCGCCCCCCCTGAGGGGCGGGCTTCCGATGACCGCAATGCTGAACGGGCAGTGCGCGCATGCGCACACTGGCCCGTTCAGCATTTGTCTCCCGAGCACTGTTCAAACCAGCCGAAAATCGTTTCTAGCATGCTCCTTAGACAAAAGACGTGCGACCGTACAGTAGAAACGGTCGCACGTCTTCGTTCACACTGCTCGATTCTCGTATGATCGCGGGATTTCCCGCGATTCTCGTACGAGAATCGAGCAGTGTATGGGCACCTTAAGAGTGATAGGAGTGTGATTGTTAACAAGCAGTAGATATATGCAAAAACTCTTGAAAAAAAAAACCTTTTGGAACAGGTTTAAACTTACCTGCGTCTTCGCTGCGCGCTCCCATCCAAACATCTGAAGAGTCTCGGGCGGCTGCAAAGGATCTTGTGGCGGGCGCATGCACACTTCAGATGTTGGGCCGGGAGACGAGAAGAGACACAAGGTAAGTCTATGGAGCAGCGTGCACCTGCACAGACTCCATTGGATGTCAGAGGAGAGGAGGACAGAGGAGTCAGCGCTGGATCGGAGACCCGCACCCAGCGCTGGAGGGACAGCTAAGAACTACACTAAAGAAGAAGATCGGATTAAGAGGCATCATTTAAGGTAAGTCCTTACACTAACATTGGGGGAGGGGAAAAATAAATATCCTTTAATGTCACTTTAAAGCTAGTTATGGATTGATGAGTGCAACCACAAACACACAGACACAACAAAGCAAACCTCTCTCCTGTTCTCCACTCTCTTCCTTCCCCAAGCTAGTAGAGGGACAGCTGCTGGAGTCTACACTGTCCTTTGAATCTTGTCCTTTGATCTTGAACTGGATGGAAGGTTTAGGGAAGCAGAGCTGAGAGATCTGGAAATGTTCAGAAACCTGACTGTAAGTGTTTGTAAATAAATACTTTGCTGGACAATGTATATTTGTTTGATCTGGATTCATTGTTGAAAAAAGTTTGAGAGTTTAACCACTTGTTTCTACTACGGGCGGACGGCAAGAGGTTAAGGAAAAATTACCGAAAATTTAAAAAAAAAACTGTTCAAATATGTACAATACCCAAAATTGGCCGTAGGCGACGCTTTTAAAAGCTCTTACCGCTCATCAGTTCAGTGTTATCAGTGGTTGATGGCCCTGAAGTGATTGCTCTCACTCTGACGTTCGCGGTGATATGTAACATGTGTAGCGCAATTGTTTTTGCAGCGCTGGCGCATCGAACGCGTATTTAAGTTTATATGTGCGTAAATGTGGGGGTGGGGGACTTAAACATTTGGGGGGGTTACTTTTTTTATATGTAACTTTTACTTTTTTTATTTCTTGTTTACACTTATTGTTATTGCTATCACATAGGGGGGATAGCAATCCCCCTATATAATAGCGAAGGCACACTGACAGGTCCAATTTATGGCGACATTAGGGGTCTCTAAGACCCCTAATGTCACCTGGGGACCCCAAAAGAAGATGATGAAGCAGAGTATGTGAAACAGCTGGTAATGGCTGTAAAGAACTGACTTTTTTTTGCCCGTGCGCGCGTGCTAGGGGGTGAGCATGAGCAGAAAAAAAATGCCGTCTAATTATGGCAACACGCCCATGTGAGTCTGCTGTCCGTCCGTTTTTTCACAACGGGAGGACGGCAAGAGGTTAAAGAAGAACTGCAGGAATACGTTTTATTAACCCTTACAGTGAGGCTACTACTGCACTGCAAGGGTTACCTGATAGTTTTTGACTAGGTGGTGGCCCGAAGCTCCGAGCCAGCTTGTTCTTAGACCGGTCCCTGGAGCCTCTCTCCCCTCGTCTGCAGAAGTATAAGGTCCTGTAAATCATCACGTCTATACACTGCCTATAGACATCAGAGCCTGGAAGAGGAGCAGGATGAAGATGAAACTGCAGAGGGCAGCAGCGCTGGTGATGATCACTTCTGAAGCTAGGTCTGCCATAATGTGATAATATGAAGTGCACACTAGCACATTAAGCCCCATTCACACTTGCAAACGGGTCCGATCACAAACAGTCTGCGTCCACATTCGGCCGTTCGCAGATAATGGCAGCATGAGCAATTAAATGCAAACGGTCTGCGAACAGTTGCGGGTGGTGGCAGCTGTCATTGTATTGTACTGTTCATGAGTCGTATTGATCATGAGCATCACGAAGGGATTTGTGATAGTCATGAAACAGCGGCGGCACCATGGTGGGTGTTACCAGGTGTGTCCGCCGTGCATGTGTTATGACGTCTGTGGTGTGACATCACCACACATTCATGTTGATGTACTTTACTGCCAGCGGCAATCTTGGTGATGGATGCCGGTGTGGCCAACGGGGCTAATCATCCTAATTGGCCTTAGGGTTGTGATGAGTACATCTGCAGTTATAATTATAATATTGTTTTGAAGACGTCTATCAGTTGTACGCGATCAGTGGCTGCGTCCACTGCTTTGGTATTGGAAATTTTGTCCCTTACTTACTTTCTGTTGCATGTATTCTTGAAAACCTGTTCAATAAAAGGATTTATAAAAAAAAAAAAGTGATAAAAATGTCAAAAAATTTTATAAAATTAATAAAAGGAAAATATAATAAGAACAAAAAATTGTAAAAAGTAAACATTAAAAAAAGTGATTAAAAAAAGAGAAAAAAACAAAACCAACCCTGCCACCTGGTTTCCATTCTCCATTAGGAAGAGGGGGAGGGGTTGGCAGTGAGGGGGTGCATTGAGGAACCTGGCCTTGGGACAGCAGAGATGGTAAATCCGGCCCTGTGCATCTTATGTGATGTGTAAAGTGGAATTATTAGGAAAGCTGTTTTGCATGTTCTCCCTTAATTCCTCCTTCCCACAGTTTACAAGATATTAGCAAGTACTGGATGAAATGGGATTTATGAATGGATACCATAGACATGCATAGAATTGCAGATAGTGAAATCTTATCTCATTATAATACAAGTAATAAGATTCAATCTGCAAACTGTATGTGGCTCTCCAGCCGTATGACAATCAATGGAAGCGATCAGGAGCACGGTTGTCAACACCTCAACCACGAGGCGCCTGGAACAACAAGCTTCCCTCTACTGCCTGTTACTGCGGAAGATGGACAGAGCATTTGGCCAATCCCGTACCACCATTTTTTCTCTGACGTTCCCGGGTGGACAGCTGCGCTACCATTGGCTGTATTCATCGATGGAAACTGCGTAGTTGTGGGCGGTGTCGTGGGCTGGCTCGTGCAGGTGGGTGTGTCGGTGATATTAGTGCGGAAGGCCCTCACAGGAGTAGTGTGTAAATTACGTCACGGTAGTTACATTTTACAGTATACCAAGACGGGGACGGACAGCAGTAGCGACATAATAATACATTACAGTGTTGCAATGTGTAAATGTGGCCAGACGAGAGTTCTTGTCCTGTGGTATTGAAGCGGTACTAAACTCGAGTTTACGAAACATTTTTACTGCAGGACAGACTCTGTTGAGGTGACTTATAAAGTGTTGGCCGAGCGAACAGCTATGAGAAGATTTACAGAGCTTTATTGCCACTAAGAGCCACTAGTAGTATAGGATTTCCTATACTTCTTACCTCCATGCAGCTGCCATAATGAGCTGAGGATCGTGTTTGCTGGGCCAGCTGTTTACAAATCACCCCCTGTATGTCTCCCAAAAAATAAACCTACCTGCCAGCACTATTACAGTGATACATTTGTTGCACTCAATAGAGTGCCCCCTTTCATTAGATTCACAGTAAACTCAGGAGTTAAATTTTATAAATACATTCAAGTACTCAACTAGTAACAGAAATGTATCTTATTTATGTATCACGTGGCTGTAGGTCCTCAAATCATCTCTGAATTGGTGCTGACACTGTCCTTCCTTCTGGAGGGGTCCCTGCGTGTGTTGTAAAGTAGCCCACACTCCAAACTTGCTCCTGCGATGGACTACAATCTCAATACAAATTAGTAAACTACACCTGAGATTGTAGTCCATCACAGGGGTGATGGACTAGTAGTATGTAGTTTTGTATCCACTCTGTTGGATCATACTAATGAGAAATATTTTGTCTTCCAGATTGAATATAGTGATGTCGGTGTGTGATGAACTCTTGCTGTGCAACTTCCCTAAGTGCAGGGTAAAGTTATCTGGCCGAGCCTGGGTCACAGCTTGTTCACATATATTCTGTGACCAGCATGGAAGTGGAGAATTCAGCCGATCTCCTGCCGTTTGCCCAGCCTGTAATAGCACCCTGTCCAGTAAGCTGGATATTGTTCGATCTGAGTTGAGCCCTTCAGAGGAACAAAAAGCCATGATGCTGGCTGGCCTACGTCCTGAGATTGTTCTAGATATTTGTTCTCGTGCTTTAGCTTTCTGGACCTACCAGGTAAGAAAAGGATAACTGGAGAGAAGAATGCTCATGTTCACATACAGGTGAAACTCGAATAATTAGAATATCATGCAAAAGTAATTGCAGTAAGTGCTGTAAAAGGAGCCCAAACCAAGTACTGAGTACATATGCATGCTTATACTTTTCAGAGGTCCGATATTGTTCTATGTACAATCCTTGTTTTATTGATTGCATGCAATAATCTACTTTTTTGAGGTTGTGGATTTGGGGTTCTTGGGGTTTTCATGAGCTGTAAGCCATAATCATCACAATTATGACAAATCACGGCTTGAATTATCTTGCTTTGCATGTAATGAGTCTCTCTCATATATTAGTTTCACCTTTTAAGTTGCATTAGTGAAATAAATGCACTTTGCCCGATATTCTAATTATTCGAGTTTCACCTGTATTACCACTTACATTTATCTGGGGAAAACATTTGGACAAACCATAGATCAGGGAATTTTCATATTGAGCCTTGTTGTTCGGTGCCCATAGCATGGGCGTAACTAGAAATCACAGGGCCCCATAGCTAAATTTTGTATGGGGCCCCGTGATTACTAGTTATGCCCTTTGCAGAGCCCACCTGACATACCAAACAGCCCACCTGAGAGTGACCCTGCAGAGCCCACCATAGACTCTGTATAGTGGGCTCTGCAGGGTCTCAGATGGGCTGCACACCTCTTACCTGTCAGGGCTGTCCGCCTCCTTGGTCACCGGGCCGCGCCTCCTCTTCCGTCGCTGGGCCCCGCCTCCTCTTCTATCGACAGGCCTCCTCTTACATCACTGGCTCTTAGGTCGCCGGCCCGGGCCCCGCCTCCTCCTTCACTGCGAACACAGGCCGCTTCTGCAGAAGCTGCTGGTCGGGCCGCTGCTGAGCTGTGTCAGTGACAGCCAGAGCCCAAATATGCATAGCGACCCAGGCGGCCCACACGACATCAGAGGGATGCCCTGGCCGGGCCCTCCTGTGCCCGGGCACCATAGCGGCCGCCTGGGTCGCTATGGCGATTGTTACACCACTGGCCCGTAGTATAAGCTTTGATGAAATAACAAAGAGCAGTGATATGTTATACCCAAAGTAAACAGCCATATGTGATTAGGGCAGTCATACTACTCAAGGATGACTTCTGATTGGTTACTGGCTTTTGCTTGCATTGTTTTAACCACTTGCTGTCCGGAGCAATTTCTCACTATTTGCACACACATGATAAAATCTGAATGTTTAGCTAATCAACAGCTTCAAATCCAAAAACAATTATATATTTTCTGAAAGCAGAGGCCCTGTAGAAAAAAAAATGCTAGTTACAGTATTTGCAAGGATAAAATGTATTTATTAAACCAGAAACCTGTATTTTTAGGATAAAATGCACTAAAATGAAACTTAGTGCACATAAACAGAATATAATAAACATTTTTTTAGTAAAACATGAAAGGCGGGGTCATGTCGGGAAAATAGATACTAAACATGTCAAGCCTTAAAATTGCATTCGCCTGTGAAGCCGCAAAAAACTTCAATACCCCAAATTTGCCATAGGGGACATTTTAAAAGCTTTAACTGCTCAACACTTTAGTGTTACCAGTGATTGATGGGCCTAGAATTATTGCTCTCACTCCGGCGTTCGTGGCAATATGTAACATGTTTTTGCACGTAGGCACACCGAAACGTGTTTGCGTATGCATGTGTGTGCACATGAGAGCGAGGGACTTTAAAAAAAATATTTTTGCATTTTTTTTATTTCTTTATATGTTATCTTAACTTTTTATGATCTAAACATTTTTTCCCACTAACTTTATTGCTATCACATAGGGGGCTAACAAGCCCCCTATGCAATAGAGATAGGGTGTGACAGGTCCTCTTTATGGAGACATCAGAGGTATTTCAGACCCCCAATATCACCTATGGACCCCAAAGAAGCTGAGGAAGCAGATATCTGCTTCCCCAGCTTCTTCTCCTGGCTCTAAGAGCTGAAGACTGTAAAGAGTGACACCGGAAATTATGTAGTACACATCACTTCCGGGTCCAGTGATCGGAGGAGAGATCAGCGGCTGGAAGCCTGCTGATCTCTCTCCGATCGTTGCTGGGAGACCCGCTGTTCCGGTCCTGGGCGGCGGAGGGGGGTGAGGGTACCGCATTCCGTGGATTGGTACAAACGATCCGACGGCTGTATAGACGCCGGATCACTTGTACATTAACAGCCATTGCAGGGTGCTAAAAATGACACCAAGAACATGGCTGCAGCAGCATCTGTGTTTTTGGTATAACCGCTTCTGCGGGCCGCCATATATTTACGTAGACCGTAGAAAGATTAATCATTTATTGTTAATAGTTTTTTGTCAGGGTAAGTATTGTCATAACGTTAGTAGGTGGGCCAAAATTATAATATCAATATTGCAGGAGAATAGACACACACACAACAAAATGTGTATATTAGATTATTCTGCTTTACTCATGGATAAGACTTTTTATAGACAGTGGATGAGTCCTTGGTTCTGTAGCACAACAGAAGGGAGTCCACAGTTACATACACAATAGAGGGTGGTTACATAACACAACATTAGGAAAGTCAGTTAAAGTAGAACTGAAGCCAAGACATTTTGTTTAGTTTTGGATAGAGTAAGGAAAGGGTATAAAGCCTGTTAACATATTTGTCATCCCATTGGTGACATTTCTCTTCACTTCCTGTGCGATAGCCACATCAGGAAGTGAGAGGAAATCCCTCCAAACAGAAAGAAATCCCTGGTAGTCAGTAGGGTCACCCGAACTAGAGTCCCCATTGGAATATTTCCCATATATTTTGGATTTTCTTTCACTTTCAGTGATAGCATTCACCAGCTGTCATACACCAGCTGTAGGTCCTCAAATCATCTCTGAATTGGTGCTGGAGGGTGGCTACTTTTGTTCCCCATGGTCCCTGTGTGTGTTGTAAAGTAGCCACCCCTCCTAACTATCTCCCGTGATGGACTACAATCTCAATACAAATGATTAAACTAAACATGAGAGTGTAGTCCATCACAGGAGTGAGATGACAGAGATGATTTGAGGATCTACAGCCGAGTGATATACAAATAAGATACAATTTATGTTAATATTTAAGCTACTTGAATGCATTTTTAAGGTTTATCACCGCTCACGCCTGTGATGGACTACAATCTCATGATTAGTTTACTAATTTTGTATTAAGATTGTAGTCCATCACCGGAGCGTTCTTGGAGCCGTGGCTACTTGGCACCCCAAACGCGGCCAGCAAGTTGCGCGTTTTTGCTCCGCGTTTTAACTTGTGCACAAACGCGGAAGCAAGAAACGTCAAACGCATGTCGTGGAAAATACTACATGAGCTTTTTTGCTGCGTTTGTCTGATGTATATGAACTCATTGAAATGAATGGGGACACGCAGCAAACGCGGCATACAAATGTGCAAGACGTGCGTTCCCGCGATGCGCAGGTGTGAAACGGGCCTTACAGTGTCTTTCTTGTTATTTTGAAGATATAGGTAAAGGTCCTGTTTATGTATGTGCTTATTCTTTTATTCATGTTATTGCTCTTGCTTTATGGAAAGTGAGAAACATCTACAGGGTTATTCACAAAAGGGTGAAGGGTTTGTAGAAGGCAGGAGAAGTGACCAATCTAGGACAACATAGCTGATATGGAGAAATTCTCCAATTCAGCTCACTTTCCAGTTCAGCGATGTTGTCCTAGATTGTTCCCTTCTCCTGCCTTCTCCAAACTCTTCACCCTTTTGTGAATAACCCTGTTAGTCACACCTATGCATGCATGTTACCACCTACATTGTAATTCTAATGAGCACATCATCAAAGTAAACAATGCACCTGACCATTTAATGTACAACATGTGGTGGTGTGTTGGGTAGAAAGTACATTTTGGTATGTCAATGCCCAATGTCAATGAGTGTAAAGCGATAATGCACTGTAATCTACAGATTGCGAGTGCCTGGTGAGGCATGTTGGTGAAATAGCAGTTATACAGATTAGAAATCATTGTCAAACCACTGTTGTTTTCCTGATGATCTGGTTCCAGAGGAGTTGCACTGAGCTGCCAAACTCTGTCTTCACAGGTTTCCAATAGACTTTGCTGCTTGATCTGTATTTGAGTGTGAATTCTTTTTCCAGTCCCATGTAATTGGTACATAACAATAAAAACAACATACATAGAAGGAAAAAGTATGTATAAAATAAGTATAAAAAGTATTTCTGCTCTTGCTGTTCTTTAACTCTGCATTTAGGTATACCAGGAGCGGTTATACCAGGAATATAATTACAGCAAAGCAGAAGGACATCTGAAACAGGTGGAAAAACTGTACACTCATCAAATACAAAGCAAGGATGCCGAGATGGCTGCCATGAAAGGTGAAGTAAACTCTTTAAAGAAAATCTTGGAGGAATACAAAAGAAAATACAGCGAACTCTCCGAAAAACTAATGGAGCGCAATAGGCAGTATAATAAGCTCCAGGGAATGTACGATGGACTAAGACTCCGCAACATGGCCGCAGCTAACAGAGAGGTATCTTCAAATGGAGATCGAGCTCAACAGGACCAGTTTATGGGTAATTAGATATGCAAGTAGGCAGAAGCTAAATGTACATGGAACTGTTTTATGTCTTAAAAAAACCTATTCCCTGAGAAATATGTGGGCTAGCATTTTAAACTCTTCTCTTCCTAAAGGCTAGTCACCTGATTCTGATCCATTAGTTTTAGTACTTTCTGAATCGCTGACCTGGAATACGTGTTTTCACTGCACTCTAACCTAACATACTACATGCTTATTGCATTGTGTTAGTATCTCAGAAAGTATCATCTGTACGTAATGTATATGTCACTTATATATTGCGTGTAGTTGGAATTGCAGTTTAGATATAGAGAGTTTGTACAGTGCCTTGCATGAACGAATTACTTGGCATTATATAGACCCAGCATCAGCATGTAGATTGCTGTCCAGTTTTGGTAAATGCACCATTTTGGAGATCTGAATACTTTGGGTAGATATAAAAAATTCAGTCATGCGTCTTTACATGAACGTTTAAGTAAAATGAATTTTGAAATGAATTCAGTGCATGTACTTGATTTTGTATTGTTCAGCCTATTGACTGGGACTATACAATATAGAATCAGGCATATACACTCAATTCATTTAAAAATACATAGAAGCCTTGCACAGTGAACTCAGACTGGAAGAAGTAGGGACATCACTGGGAGCCAATCAGGCTCTTTTTCATGCACAGCAGCATCACCAGGGGGGTGCGGCCCACACCGGGGTGACACCATTGGAAGGGGTGACACCAAAATGCCTGACAGTTATTTTGGTGTCATCCCCTCTAAAAAGTCGGGCACTCGGTCATGGAGGGTCATGAAAGTTCATTCTGATTTTTAGCAATCCAAATCTGCTTAAATGCTTCCTGTCATCATTATCCTTTCTTTACTTTGTGGTGAGTTACTAATTTGGAACAAGCCGGTGCTAATCAGGTATCACACACCTAATGAACACAAGTGTTTTCTGGACAAGTGATCAGTAGGTATTAAGACAAAGATTAGATTGACAGACCTGGAACATGCACCTTCTAGAACGAGAGAGCATCAACCACTCTCGTACTTCTATCCTGACATATTTCCTTTAATGAGTCCTGTCAGTAGATGATTAACAAATCCATGGTAGTAATCATGTGCATTCTTTCTCCTTTAGGAAACAGGTTCCCAACTGCTAGAACACCTCCGTTAAGATCATGCGATGCTGATTTTCGACCTCAAACCTTCTTCTGTACTTCCCCTTTTGATGATTCTGGAAACGCCTCCTTTGGCTCTCCTGGAAATAGGACAGGCCAACAAAACATGGCTTCATCCAGGGCTTTCAAAGTTATGAGGATGTAAAATACTAGAACAGAGAAATACCGGGGGGAATTGATCAAAACTGGAGTAGACAAAATCTGGAGCAGCTGTGCATGGCAACCAATCAGCTTATCTCTTCAGTTTGTTCAGTTATGATTTGAAAATGAAAGAGAGAAGCTGATTGGTTGGCATGCACAGCTCCTCCAGATTTTGTCTACTCCAGTTTTGATCAATTCCCCTCATTGTATATTACTAATCAGCTTAGTGGTTATGTTTTCTTATTCAGAAAGGTTTGGATGTTCAGAGTGCAATTAAATAAAGTACTTCATATATTTAAAAATGTATATTTTGTAGCAACTGTTACCCAATATTGCATTCTACACACAGCCATTTTTTCTTCTGTTATGGCAACATTCAACCAAAATTAGACCCAGTTTATTACTTTTACTTTTTCTATTGCTGTCTTTGTCCCCACTGGGGAGGTTAACTCTCTCTATATGTCATGCAGACAGTTTCTGATACAGAAAGTAATAAGAAATCACTCAACAGGAACAGGAAATCTTCCAATGGGGAAGCCTGTTGTGGTGACAAGCGTCTAAAAGAGCATTTCGGCCCTCCTCAGACCTCCAGGGGGCCACAGCTGATGTCCGGGTAGTAGGGACTTAACCTTGCAAGTGTCTATTTATCTAATGTACTGTTGGAATATAAAATAAAAATGATGATAAACTAAAAGAGCATTTCTCCTCGTTTTAGAGAGATTTCCTCTCATTTCCTGTTGTGTCTCTGGTGCAGGACTTCTCCCCAATACAACACAGACAGTAAAAATAAATAAAACCTGGTAGAGGTCTTAACAATCACTACTTTAAGTACAAGAATAGTGCCCAGATGGTGTTTCAGTAAGAGCAACCTAAAAGGAGCATCGTCTGCAAGGTCGAAGAAGTATCTTCAGCCAAAGCATGGCATGTGACTTCTGTAGGCCCAACTAGATATTGACTAGGACTCAGGCTAGGCTGCATGCATAATGATTCTTCAAGAAGCAATAGTATTTAGAAAAGAAATGTTAAAGCAAATACAGTAAACTCCCCATTAAGTGGCATTCAAGCAACCGGCAGTCTCCAGCAAACGGCAAAAAAAACAAATCGAGAACATATGTCATTAGCAGCAAAATTTATTTGGGTGGTAATGAAATGTTTTGTTTACATTTTGTTGCTGGCCGGTGGCTAGATTTTGCGGTCGGCAGCAGAATGTAAACAATGGGGAGAAATAGCCAGCCTGCTATTGGTTATTTCAAATTGCAATAGCCAATAGCAAGCTGGCTATTGTGCACACCCACAGAACTTTCTCTCTCAGGTCTGCTCCTTTGCTCAGTAGGTGGAGTTTCAATAGCCAGCCTGCTATTGCAATTTGAAATAACGAATAGTAGGCTGGCTATTGAAACCCTGCACTCCAAGCAGAGGAGCGGACCGGAGAGATAACTTGCTCACTAAGGTCCGATCCACTGTTTAGTAGGTGGGGCTTCAATAGTCAGACTGCTATTACAATTTAAAATAGCCAATAGCAGTCTGGCTATTACACCCAGCTGTTTACATTCACCTGTCGGCTACGGAAGCTAGCCGATCGGCAAATGCGCTCTCTGGGGGGCGCAGTGCTGCGTGGGGCTGGTTGCTTGGGAGTTACTATTTACTCTCAAGAGACCAAAAACTACAGTGATCCAGAACCTACTGATCCCCGTGGGTGCCGGATAACTGGGAGTTTTCTGTAGTCTGCTGTGTTATTGATTTAGAAAGCCATATCTGTGGATATGTTTCCAAGATAAAACTAGGGGCCTGGTAAAGTCTATAATAATTTGCTCTATGGCTCCATCTCGTATTATGTTCTGTTCATTATGCAGTTCTTAATGCTGATATGAAATCATCTTACATTCATTAGTTAAACATATTTTGCTATTACTTACAATAACCATTTTCCACTTCCTGATTGAGTGAGGCAATGATGATAAAGCCCTGGCCACACAGATGTATCCTGAGATGGTTACATCACCAGTGCCTTCCTGGGAAATCTCATCTGTAAACTGCAACTAGATCTCAGGGAAAATCATTTTTTCCCCCTGAGATGACGTGTGTCAGAGCACATTGAAAACCAGACAAGCATAAGGTGCTAGTTAAAAATACTTTATTAGGAAAAGCGTCCGCAGGAGCAAGCAAAAATCATAAGCAGGAACAAGCCAAGGTCAGGAGCCGGAGTGGGTAGTCATACAAGCCAGGTCAGGAACATGGAGATCAGCGTTGTCGGGAACAAGCAAGGAGCAGGAACCAGAGGAGACCATCAACTAAGATCAGGTCATACACAGTCTCAGGATACATTGAGCAGCAGGAATAAACTAGCAGGAAAGCACACACAAGGTCAAACTGGACTGAGTGGTTTAAATAGTGAGTGGAGTGACATCATCAGTGTCACTCCACATCAGTGGAGTGACAACAAAGAAACCGCAAAACTACTTATCCCCTCCCTTGTTATCTCTCGTCTTGACTATTGTAACTCCCTCCTCATTGGCCTTCCGCTACACAGGCTATCCCCCCTTCAGTCTATCATGAATGCAGCTGCCAGACTCATTCAACTTACCAACCGCTCAGTGTCTGCATCCCCCCTCTGCCAATCCCTACACTGGCTTCCACTCGCCGGGAGGATAAAATTCAAAATATTAACAGTCACGTATAAAGCGGTCCACAACTCCGCCCCCGGATACATCTCAGACCTTGTCTCAAAGTATTACCCTAACCGTCCCCTCCGCTCATCCATTGACCTCCTGCTTTCCAGCTCCGTTGTCCACTCCTCCCATACTCGCCTCCAGGACTTCTCTAGAGTCTCTCTCATCCTCTGGAACTCCTTACCCCAACCTGTCTGTCTATCTCCCACCTTGACTGCCTTTAGGCGTTCCGTAAAGACACATCTCTTCAGGGAAGCCTATCCCACCTCAACCTAACCACTGAACCATCACGTTCTCAAATAATTCATCCCCACACAGCTCCCTCCTTATGTATCATTTCCCCCTCCTCTTTCAGATTGTAAGCCCTCAAGGGCAGGGCCCTCCTTACCATCTTGGTAATAATGGTATAATAATAATAATCATCATCACTTAGAGACAGGAAACTCGCATCTGGCTCTCTCAGATGATGCTCCCTGTTTGGCCATAAGAGGGAGCCTGGGAGTAGGGAGCAACGTTACAGAGTCTGCTCAGACAAAGGAGGAATTGCAGGTGGGTGAAATGGTAGCCAAGCCAGCATGCTGTAAACCAGTTAAGTCAGGGTGGAACCCTGACAATGTGTAACTGTCAAATGCTCTTGGAGGCAGACCCAAAAAATTGCAAAAAATCGTGCATGGGATCGCAAAAAATCGTGCATGCACTATACAAAGCATGCAATTATCTAGAAGTATGTGTTGGTAGATTGTCATTACTAAACAATCCTAAAGGTTTCTTTGTTGTCATTTTAAGATTTTTAAGATAAAGGTGAAGTTCTTCTTAAAGGGAATCTTTAAGTATATAAAGTATAGACACTGTATAGGACTTATTTTGAAACTTGCAGGCTCCAGGGCTGCTATCTTGATCTTGGCTTGTCTAACTAGGAAATCACTGACCTAAAAACTGGTATACAGCAAAGGAAAGAGACTTTTCAGACTTCACTGGATGTAAGTTCAATTTATGTCAGTCACTTGGTAGGATGACTGCACATTTAAAATAACAAGTATTTGTTATTTTGTTAAAGTACTCATGTGTATGATTTAAAAACCTTTACCACAGCCAGGAGAATAAAGTTACATAGGAACACGCAGCCCTAGTGAGACCGCACAGCCACGGTGAGACCTGCACGTAGTCCTGGTGACCCAGCTAAGCCCTGGTATGACCCGCATGCAGCCCTAGTGACACAGCACAGCCCTGGTGAGACCCACACAGCCATGGTGACACCTGAACGCAGCCCTGGTGAAACTACACAGCCCTGGAGACACTGCACAGCCATGGTGAGACCTGCACGTAGTCCTGGTGACCCAGCTAAGCCCTGGTATGACCCGCATGCAGCCCTAGTGACACAGCACAGCCCTGGTGAGACACGCACAGCCATGGTGACACTGCCATGGTGAGACCTGAACGCAGTCCGGTTGACACTACACAGCCCTGGTGACACTGCACAGCCATGGTGAGACCTGCACGTAGTCCTGGTGACCCAGCTAAGCCCTGGTATGACCCGCATGCAGCCCTAGTGACACAGCACAGCCCTGGTGAGACACGCACAGCCATGGTGACACTGCCATGGTGAGACCTGAATGCAGCCCTGGTGACACTGCACAGCCATGGTGAAACCCTCACGCAACCCTGTTGAGACCTACACAGCCATGGTGACACGCGCATACGACCCTGGTGAGACACAATATAAATACATTATATATATATATTATACATACATACATACAGTATCTCACAGAAGTGAGTACACCAATCACATTTTATTATATTATTTCATGTGACGACACAGAAGAAATTACACTTTGCAACAATGTAAAGTAGTGAATGCACAGCTTGTATATCAGTGTACATTTGCTGTCCCCTCAAAATAACTCAACACACAGCCAATAATGTCTAGACCGCTGGCAACAAAAGTGAGTACACCCCTAAGGGAAAATGTCCAAATTGGGCCCAAAGTGTCAATATTTTGTGTGGCCACCATTATTTTCCAGCACTGCTTTATCCCTCTTGGGCATGGAGTTCACCAGAGCTTCACAGGTTGCCACTGGAGTCCTCTTCCACTCCTCCATGACGACATCATAGAGCTGGTAGATGTTAGAGACCTTGCACTCCTTCACCTTCCATTTGAGGATGCCCCACAGATGCTCAATAGGGTTTAGGTCTGGAGACATGCTTGGCCAGTCCATCACCTTTACCCTCAGCTTCTTTAGCAAGGCAGTGGTCGTCTTGGAAGTGTGTTTGGGGTCGTTATCATGTTGGAATACCGCCCTGCGGCCCAGTCACCGAAGGGAGGGAATCATGC